TGCAATAATACCATTTTGTGCATCTGGAGGGTTTTATGTGCCAGTGAAACCTAATCTGCTAATAGAAGCAAATGACCTTCTAGACTATACTATCTTCTTCTTCTACACCGGGCGGCCTGAGTTACATTGCCCAGGAACTGAATTCCTAGATTTAATTTTTCTAGAAAAGTGAAACCTTTCCAACCTTGGGGATTATAAACAAATGGATCTTGGGCTGAACAAGAAAATACAGCAAAAAGTAGCAGAAATTCATATGTGAAACAAGTTAAAGGGTCACTGTTAATACTAGCAAGGGTTCTTTCACCAGTAATTATGGTATCCTGACAAGTGAAGTAAGACTTAGAGCAAATAACCGTTGCTAGTTTGGCTTAGGTGTGGATTCAAGACCCCATTCTTCACTTAATAGCTTCGAGGCCTTGGGCCTGTGATATCAACTCTTTGAGACTCAGTTTCTTCATCTGCAAAATGAGAATGTAGTTCTGAAGTTCTGTGAGTATAATACTTAGATGCTGTAATGTGGCCCTGACTTCCTGTATCCAGCAGGAAGTAGATTACATGGAATGTATATATTTTCTGCCACATTACAAAAATTAATGTGCTTGATTTTATAATGTGTCTCTCCATGTCTCTGAAAACTTTGAACATCTCAGGACACACATGGGAAACAGTGGATGTGAGAAGGAGGCCTGAAGGGAGTTGGGAGGAGTTGTAGAGGGGGTGTATAGAGAGCAACATTGGTAAATAGGGATTGACCCTGCTGCAAATTGTTATCCTTATTTATTTAAGTTGTGACTCTAATCTAAATTATTTTATAAGAAGGGACAGTTAGGAAAGAATAGTTCAGGAGGTTTAGGTTTTTGCCCAAGTTGATTTTTGGGTCTTTTGGAAAAGAGCTGTGACTATAAGAAAAATTACAGGGGCTGGACTGGGAAATGCCTATATCCTATACCCTCCAGGCAGGAGGAACCAGAAGAGTTTCTATTTTTTGGAGACCAGTTCTCTAGCTGAAGAGGCTGAGGCAATTTGAGTGCCTCAGAGTTCATTCCAGAAGGGTGGAGGCATTCATTGCCATAAATGAGGCACAACTGGGCCCCTGTACAAGAACCTGTGGGCGTTCAAAGAACTAGGGCTGAGCAGTTCTTCATCTGCATCCCTGACTGGGGAAAGAGGGACAGGCAGATCTTCTGACCCCAACAGTGCATCTTCCCACCATGAAAACACCCATTACTACCTGACAGCTGCTCTCTGCTATGTTCTTACCCACAGGAACTTTTTTGGCTCTTTTCCTGTTACTCTTGTTTGATCCAGCAAAACCCAGATTTCTTGATGGAAAGAACAGGTTGCTCCTGGCTGGGAAGGGCCTGCAGCTGCATGTTTTTGCTTCAGAGAGAATCTGCCCTCCATGAGAGCGGGGACACTTTGGCTTTAAGGACTTCCTACCAGTGGAGGCAGGCTGCAGGGCTGTGTGGACTCTCTCTCTTTGGCCTGCTATTTCTGAGGAGCAGGATGAGGGGCTAGCACTCTTCTTGCTAGCAGGGATAGGAGCAACTGTCACTTTTCTGTGAGTTAGTGATTTCCACTCTGACATGGGTCAGAAGACAAGAGGCTCCTTATTGTTCTTTCCATTGTAAAAGTACATCATTCTGTGTGTTCCTTTTATAGCCTACCTGGTCAAAAGGGACTTAGTACTGTAGAATGGGAGAAGGAGAAGAGACCCAAGGCACCGATCACTATGAGTTCTAATGGAAGATTGACCCTTCTTCAGAGTTGGAAACTGAGGCCCTGAGGAGACTTGGCCAAAGTCTACTTAATTATGGAGCTAGGACTGGAATCCAGGCTTCTTGGCTCTTATTCCTGTGCTCTCTGTCTTGCATGAAGCCAGTGGTGAGTGTGCAGTGTGGCCCAGAAGCCACAGATGCACCTGTCATAAACTCTGCTATAGGCTCAAATGACCACACTAGAATATCCAGAGATGACCACCTTTGCACAATGGGATCCCGTGCTCTAGTATGTGGGGACATATGGCCCTGTTTCTACTCTCTTCCTTCTTCACTATGCCATGGCATGTGAAGTCTTCATCCTTTCCTTCCTCGTTTTCCTTGTTCCCTTCCTTCACAGCTGGTCTGTGATCCTGAGCACCTTCTATAATCTGCTACTCTGGTAAACTTCTCAAGTTTGACATTGATTGTATTCCAGGATTAGAGCGCTGGGGGGAAAGAACTTTTGGGAGAGTGGATCTTTGAAGAGAAGAAGGGGATTAGGAAAGGAAGGGAATTTGAGGTCCACTGTGGGGTTCCTGGAAGTGGAAGAAGTGCACTGTGCAAACAAGGGCAGTTGAACAAAGGTAGGGCATGCACGGTGCCCGTCACTGACTCTGGCACACACTGGGTTCAGGCTGGTCACCCTCGTGGAGCTTTGGCCAGAAGAACTGTTAACTCATTAGGAGGTGTGACTATCACCTGACGGTGGGAAGCCAAGTTTGACTGCTCAGGTGATAAACTTCTGAGTGCTTTGGATTAAATTTTGCTGATTTTCTGTACTATGACCACTTTTCCTCCCATGCCCTGCTAACTCTGCAGCTGCCCCACCTCCCCCAGGTCAGCATATATATGCAGGAGTGCAAGCTGGCATGCACATACACACACATACATACACACTCATACAGACACACAGCCCCCAAGAGGAACAAAATTGAGAACCACACTGTGTGTGTGTGCTCCTGTAACCAACCCGCTTGGCTTCCCCCTTTGGGAAAAGGAGAATGACACAGCTCTTTCTCCTGAGCTAATGCTAATGCTCGGGAGTGCTGAGCAATTAACTGTGATGTGGTGGAAAGGCTAATGAGTTCCCAGTCATATGGACCTTCAGTGCATTTTAAAAAATGAATTAAATGTGACCTTTTAATTTTATTCTTTTTTTATTATTGCATTGTAATTATACACAATAGTGGGATTCATTGTTCCATATTCCTACATGCACAAACATAATTTGGTCAATTTTATTCCTCAATAATCCCCCCTTTCTTTCCCTTCCTCTCTTTCCCTGGCCCTCTGCCTCTACCCTATTGGTTTCCCTTGTATTTTCATGAGCTTCCCCCTTTTTCCTTTTTTTTAATTTTTCTTTTTAGCTTGTAAATTATAAGAGGAAAGCCCATTGACTTCTTGAGTTTGGTTATTTCACTTAACACTCTCAAGTTGCATCCACATCCTGTAAATGACATAAGTTTGTTCTTCTTTATGGCTCAATAGAACTCCATTATATATAAAATGCCACATTTTTCTTATCCATTCATCTGTTGCTGGATACCTAGGCAGATCCCATAATTTGGCTATTGTGACTTGTGCTACTATAAACATGGGTATGCTTTTATTACTGTAGTATGCTGACTTTAATTCTTTAGAATAAATATTGAGGGGTGGAATAGCTGGATCATTTGGTACTTCCATTCCCAGTCTTTTGAGGAACTTCTGTACTCAGTGCATGTTTCTGCTCTGTGACATGAGCCTCTCTGAGCTTCAGTTTCTTGGTCTGTGATAATCAGTCATTATTTCAGTGGAATGTTGTGAGGATTAGACCAGGTCATGCATATAAATTGCATGCATGGTGTCATCAGTTAGTAAATCATGGACATGATTAGCTATGATCACGAGTCTCAATTCCTACTTTGCCAAAGAGGTATAATAACCTCTTTGCCTCCTGGCACTGTTGTGAGGATTGAATGCATGTTATTTTTCCTTCACATGATAGAATGCCCTACATATTCCAGGCAGCCATGTGATAAAGAGTATGCCCATGTCACAGATTCAATACATGTCTTTTCAAGGGGAACAGAATGGACATGAGGGTCTTACCCTATTTCCAACTCCTGGGTTCTTAAGGCCTCTAGATTGCATCACTGACCTATAGTGCTCGGTGTGTTCCTTGAATTATCCACTCCAGGAGCCCCATTTTGCCCTTCAGCATCCCCCGGGAAATACTTCCTACCAGGATGTGCTGCTGGAAGCCCTAGTTTCTTTTCTTTTTTTATAAATTATATTTTTGTTAGTGCACTATAGTTATATATTCTATATATTCTAGTGGGGTTCATTGTGACATATCCATATATGCATATAACATAATTTGCTCCATTTCATTCCCCAGTACTTCCTCTTTCTCTTCTCTCCTCCCTCCTCCTGATCCCCTTCCTCTACTCTATTGGTCTTTCTTCTGTTTATTTTTTTTTTAAAGTTGGTACATTATAATTATACATAAAAGTAGGGAAAGCCCTAGTTTCTGCAGCAAGTTAAGCTTCAGTATAAAAAGAGGGAACTTCCTGCTTAGGTGATGATTTATTTGTCTTTTCTTCCCAACAGCCCTTAATCCCATGGTTCCTTTAGCTTCGGTAGACATTCTGTATGTAGGTGGTAGCTCTTTCCCACCTTACCCTGCTTCCTCCCAGTCCAGGGAAGATAAATCTCTGGCATGAGCAGCTCCTTCACTGGTAACAGTTTGAGAATATGAGCTTAATTCATAGTTGTCCAAAGGAGTCACTCAGCAAGGACCAAAGCTGGCTCTGGATGGGGCATGTGGTTGCCTTCCACCCCTACCTGCTTCAGGGAGTCATGACCAGAGCCTCACTTGACTGTAGGAGTTGCAATATATATATATATATATATATATATATATACTGGAAAGCTATCTCTATATAAAGCAGTGGCCCTTGTAGTTTAATTTTGTACCTCCTAATTTCCTTATGTAGGACCTCCCTGTGGATGTGGTTGAGCACAGTCTTCTCAGTGAGCCACAGAGCTTTCTTCCTGAGGCCTCCTCCCTCAGTCTGGGCTGATTCCATGAATAGCCTACCACTCCTTAGCACAGAGGGCCTGGCTGTAAGGTCTGGGCCTGACTAGCACTGGGGTGGGGTGAGTTGGAATGTCTCATAGGATATGCCCTTTCCCCCCTTCATATCCCTTCTGGCACTGTTAACTTTGGGCTGGTTCTGCTTCTCTTCCACCTGGCAGGACCTGTGTGGGGCCACCACCTGTGACACCCTGGGCATGGCTGATGTGGGCACCATGTGTGATCCCAAGAGAAGTTGCTCCGTCATTGAGGATGATGGGCTTCCGTCAGCCTTCACCACTGCCCATGAGCTGGGTAAGACTGGAAGGGAGGAGAGTTACCCCCTGGGACTGTACTGGGTTTGTGTTGGGTGCTTTGTGTGGGTGAAGTGGGCAGACATTTGTCTTTGGTCTCATATTCTGAAATCTCAGGGAATCCTTTCCTAGGGTTAGCATCTCCTTGGCTGTGGCTTTGTTTCACTTTTTTCTTATTGTCCCAGTTGGCCAGTTATACAGTCAGAGTACCTCTGCAGAATATCTGACGTTTAGGCACTATGGGGAGAATATATTAAAGGCCAGGAGACCTGCTTCTGTTCTCAGCAAGCTCACAGCCTAGTAGAGGGGGACAGAAAACAGGAGCCTATGATCTTGAGGACATTGGCAAAGCAATTCATTGACAGGTGCAAATGACCAGCCTGGAAACCATTTCACAGGCTTTCTCCTGCCCCCTGCCCTGATTCCTCCCTCAACCCCTCATGCCTATCCTGTGTAGCCCTCTCCTCCTGAATCCTCATTTCATTCCATAGGTCATGTGTTTAATATGCCTCATGACAATGTGAAAGTGTGTGAGGAGGTGTTTGGGAAGCTCCAAGCCAACCACATGATGTCCCCGACCCTCATCCAGATTGACCGTGCCAACCCCTGGTCAGCCTGCAGTGCTGCTATCATTACCGATTTCCTGGACAGTGGCTATGGTAAGCTGAGGTGGCAGAGAGGAGTGGGTGGCTTGGCAAGGATGTCTTTGCTGTCATGTGGTGGTTCTTGCTACCTTTCTGGACTGTCCTCTGTACCCAAGTCATGTAGCCCCAAGAAGTTGGGCCCTGATGTGGGTCCATCCTAGTTGCCCCTTGATTCTTTCCTTCCCTACATCTTAGGCCAGCTAAGACCCACTGTCCCCAGCTTGTCCTGATAAATGTCCTTGGCTCTCTGTAGGTGACTGCCTGCTGGACCAGCCCAGCAAGCCCATCTCCCTGCCTGAGGACCTGCCAGGCACCAGCTATACCCTGAGCCAGCAGTGTGAGCTGGCCTTTGGCGTGGGCTCAAAACCCTGTCCATACATGCAGTACTGCAGCAAGCTGTGGTGCACTGGCAAGGCCAAGGGGCAGATGGTGTGCCAGACCCGCCACTTCCCCTGGGCAGATGGTACCAGCTGTGGTGACGGCAAGTTCTGCCTCAAGGGGGCCTGTGTGGAGAGACACAACCTCAACAAATACAGGGTGAGTACAGGAGCTGATGAGTTGGGAACTCCTGAAAGGAGAGGAGGAGGTCTGTGACCTCTGCTACCTAGTTTCCACTAGGAAGTTGCCCTGTCACAGATTGGCTGTGTGACCACAGCTGACTCACGTTGCTGCACTGTGTCTCCATTTCTGTCTATGGTTGTAACCTCTTTTTGACTCTGAGAGTAGAGAAAAAGCTATGGTAGGTCAGAGGACTTGGTGAAGCCTTACAGATACATGGGAAACAGCCTTCGACAGGACTGAGGTCAGCCCTGCGTTCTGTGCCTTGTCCTATGTGGGAGGAGCTCTGGACCCAGAGCTGAGTAGTTGACATTAGGAGTGGCTTACCGCTGGCTCCATACTTTCTTTCCTCATCAACTATAGCAAGGGAGCCAGGGACCACACAGATGAACAAGGATTAGAGATGCAATGAAGCAGAGCCCTGGGCAAGCTTCAGTAACTTGACACATCCTGAACTCTGCTTTGGTCTGTTGTGATTTTTTTTTTTTTAGCTGAAATACAATTGAACAAAAGTTCCCCTGCCCTAGATAAATAATAAATAGGACTAACAATCAAATCAGAACAACAGAACCCTAAAGATTCTCTGAATATAATACAAACTGTATATTCTTTAGGTCTTGAGTTAGTGTAGTAAAGGGATTTGTACTTTTCCTGGCAGGAATAAGAAGTCCATCCTTCTCCCAGATCCTAAACATGACTGTCCCTTACCTACCCTATTCCCAGCTGGAGAAAGACTTGGGATAGGGTTTTATGTGAAAAGAGGAAATATTTTCACCAAGCACCTCAGATGGATGTGGGAGAGCATTATTTAAAATCTTGTTCTGTGACCTGGGAATATGTATTTAACTAAATCTTTAATAATTTATTAGGCAGCAATGCACTGGCTTCAGGGAACTGAATAAGGTACTGTGTTGGTCAGAAAAAGAAATAAAATGTAGGCCATATCCCAGAAAGCTCATAGTCTTGTGAGGAACCTAGAAATGTCATTAGAATACAGACATGGAGAAGCAAGTATTCTGAGTTACAACAGAGGTATAAAAATGTGTTATGGGAGAAGCAGGGGTGAGAGATTAAGCAGAAGGCACTGAAAAAACTTTGAGGAGGAGGAGGCATTTGAAGAGAGCCTTGAGGGTTGAGTAAGTGCCCAATAGGTGGAGGTGCAGCAAGGCAGGGAGTTGGGACTGAGTGAGCTAGTGGGTGGGTAGCTGAGGGTTCAGACTAGAAGATTCTGAGGACAGGTGAGTCATAGCCAGCTCCTTCTCTTGGGAAGAGGAATCTAAAGGAGGAATAGACTAGTCAAGAAAATATTGGACATAGGAAATGTGGTTTGGTAAGCACAATCTTTCCATATGATTTCTGGAATTTTCTATCAGCAAAATCCACTATATCCTCCATGTCATCTCTGAACAGTCCTCTTACTGCCTGATTTGATTGAAGCCATCTTCCCAACTCACTTCTTTTTTTTTTTTTTTTTGTACTCTAACAATTCTTCAATTCCATATGGGCCTATTGTCCATGGATACAACATTATTTCCATCTTTCCGTCACATGCCCTTACCTCCTCTTTATTAAGCTGAGATTCTGTGGTCCATTGTTAAAGCAACTCCTTTAGATACACTCTTGGTTCCCTTATCTCATCCCTCTCTGTCATGCTTACTTGGATTAGCCACCACCTTGGTTGAACCCAACTCACTCACCTACTCAGATGTGCCTGCATAGGTGAATATGGCTGGAAAAAGATGCACAATTATGCTCACTGGTATCAGCTTAGATTAACAACCTGGAAACTCCCATAATTCTGGCCAGGAGTGATATATATTTCATTTCTATAGTTTATGCGCCCTCTCACTCTTTACACTTCCGTCCGTCCTTCCATCACCAACTTCTTCCTCATTTTTACTTGTACTGGTATAGTAGTCCATTTCCCATTACTATAATGAAATACCCAACGCTGGGTAATTTATAATGAGAAGAAGTTTATTAAGTTCACAGTTTTGGAGACTGAAAGTCCAATAACATGATGTAAGTTTTGGTGAGGGGCCTCCCTGGTTGCTTCACCTCATGGCACATAGCATTATGGTGGGAGTGCTTGCAAGAGGGAGGGATCACATGGAGATAAGAGAAGCCAGAGTGTGGGAGGTGCAGGCTTACTCTTTCATAACACCTTACTCTCATGGAACTAATTAGGATCCAAAAGAGCTACTTAATTCCTTCTGAAGGCAGTGTCCTCAATGACCTAATTAATTCCCAGTTGTCCTACCCCTCCTTAATACTGCCACTCTGGGGACCAAGATTCCAACACATGAATTAATGGGAGATAAACCACATCTAAACCATAGCAACCAGTGACCTTTCCTCCCCTATTTTACTAAGGTAAAAGAAGCAATCAAGCAATCAGAAGACAATTTCCAAGGCACTACATCCATTGTCTGACTGCTTCTGTACATACTCCCATCTTTCTCCACTTCCAGTGGAGGGACTGTCCAAGCTGAACCCAAGGCCAACCTTTGTGCTTTGTACTGTCCCTCTTGTGTACTCAAGGGCATCACTTGTCATTTCTCCATTCTCTCCTACAGTATCACTTCTTCTGTCTCTTGGGTTGAATCATTCCTATTATGCTACAAACCTTTTTTTTTTTTCTTTTCCATCTTAAACCACACTTCTTATGACCATTCATCCTCTCCAAATATCACAATCTGTTTATCTGACTCCCTTGACATCAACTTTCCTTAAAAGAGTTGTATAAATGTGCTTCTTTACTCCCTGGATTTCTCAGGAATTCACTTCAATCAGGCTTCCACTCCCACCATTCCTCTAAAATAATGCTTGCTTAGGTCACCAAATAGCCATGTGTGTTGTTCACCATCCCTCACTTGCCCTGATTTGATGCAGATTCTGACATGACCCATCACTTTATCCCCTGAGAACCCAGTTTCCACTTATTGTGAGGCAGTCTCTGCTTCTTGTGGGTTCTTCTCTTCCCTTAACTGGCTTTCTCCTTGGTCTCCTTCACTGGCTCTTCCTCATTCTCATTTTCTAAATGTCGGAGTGCTCCAGGGCTCAGTCCTTACCTTCTTCACTGTACACACTCAGTTTCTTAAGTGATTAATCGAGGCTGTGGCTTTAAATACCATTCACAGGTTAGAGACTCCTATATTTGTATCTCCAGCACATGTCTCTTTCCCAAGTCACAGACTTGTATAACTGAATCATGACATCTCCATTTGAATACCAGATAAGCATCTTGAACATAGCATCTGTAAAACTGAGCTCCTGATCGTATCCCCTAAACCTGCTTTGTCAGCTCCACGTAAACCCTTTTTCTCCTGCATCCTTCACATTCTGTATCTCAGAAATTTCTATTGACCCTGTCTTTGAAAGAGATCTAGAATCCTATTTCTCACTGCTTTCCCTGCTACCACCCTGGTCTAAGCCATCAACTCTTCTTGCCTGGATTATAGCAGTCACTCCCCAACTGGTCTCTCTGCTTCTGATCTTACTCCTTAGAGACCATCCCCAACATGTGCCCAGAGGGATCCATTAAAAATGTGAGTTAGGTTATGCCCTTTCTCTTCTTGGAAGCCTCAGGGTTTCCATACCTGACTCAGAATGGCCATGCATTTCTGCCTTCATCTCCGGCTTCTCTTCTCTTGATTGCTCTGCTCCAGGCACATCTTTCCTCAAGGCCTTTGCATTGTTTCCTTTGCCTGAAATATATGCATGGCTCATGCCTGTATTTCCCTTAAATTTCTATGAGTGAGGCTTCCCTGACTCCTCATAATAAAGAGCAGCCCACCTTGCCAGGGTCCTCCCCATCATTCTCACCCTAACCCACACCTGCTTTTAACCCTATCCAACAATATACATGTACTGGCTTATTTTAATTATCTGTGTTTCCTTAACTAGGATGTGATGACCTGGAGGGTTGGGACTTGCTGTGCATGGTGTCAGGCATATAGTAGGAACACGGCAAATATTTGGCCAATGAATGAATGAATGGTGCATGATAGGAGTACAATACATGTTTTTGTACAAGTGGGTGGGAAGAAATGACACCAGATAAAAACAAAGAGCGTTGGCTCAGAAGTTGCAGGAACAGTGTTAAGTATTGAAGAAAAATTGGAGAGAATAAAGTCTAGGCTCAGATTATTAATTCTTCAGATGGTCATTGCTCACTTTTGAAGGAGCAACTTCTGTGGTGTGATGGGGGAAAAAACTATAAAGCAAAGCTCTGAGGAGTGAAGATGGGAAAGGAAAAGAGGTGAATGACTTTCTCAGGAAGTGAAAGGAGGGAATTGGAATGGAGCACTAGTTTGAGAGAAAGCAGGGGTACAAGAAAGTATTTTATCTTTTTTTTTTTTTTTAAAAAAAATAAAAAACCCAGACATATTAAAACAATGAGCCAATAACTATCTGAGAGGAGGATAGTCCAAAAAATATACTGAATATGTACATAAGTTAAAGTACTCATGTTTCATGGAAGCAATTCTGATTGGGCCTATGTGGGTTAGTTACCTTATGTATGAACTGTGGCAGTTTTAATACCAGGATGTACAACTGGGCTGCTTCTTTTATTGCCCAACAAAGGTGTGTTCAGGGGTGAAAATTCATTTTACTATCATCCTAAGAAAAACAGAATGAAGATTATACATTTTCTATCCTCTCTACCCTGCTAAACAACAAACAAACAAACAAATAAAGCCCAATGCATAATTCACTCCAAAGCCAAATAAAGTTTTAGAATTGCTTAATAGTGTCTTATCTACATGTCCTCTTAATGTAAATATTAGCATCGCTGATACTGAGGCTTTCTCAAATGCAGCTCCTGATTGAGGTTGAGATCAATTTGGTTTGGCAAAGACTCTGAACATTTATGAATAAAAATATTTAAGTATCTATGACAACGTTGTTTATTGGCAAGGCTGTTAGCTGGAACTGCTGAGATTCTTGTAAATACACTAACAACAGACAAGGGGAAACTTTGAACTCTTGCATGGAGGCAGGACCAGTGCTAGGAATTTTTATACCTGTCACCTCCTTTAAATCTTCTGTCAGACCTCAGACCCAAGTATTATTGGCTCCATTTTTGCAGGTAAAGCATGTACAACCTAAGGATATTGGCCAGTGGCTCAAGCCCGCTCTGTGGTGAGAGCAGAGGTGATGATAAAACTTGTCTGCCTCACTCGGTGGCCCAAGGATGTCTCATAACTGGGAGCAGCTGGTGTTTGCTAATTAATCAGTTGAAGTGTTATGTGGGTGCTGTGCATACAGATCATGTGCATATTGTTTTTTTTTCTCATGGTATAAAGTAAATTTCATTTCAGTGGGGCCAGATGGGAACTTGAGGATTGCACTGGTGGCTTTTCTGTAGGCTAAAGGGCTGCGTGTGGCACCTGGACCTCCGCAAGAGTATAAGTGGCTTTTCCTCGCAGGTGGATGGCTCCTGGGCCAAATGGGAACCATATGGATCGTGCTCACGCACCTGTGGTGGGGGTGTGCAGCTGGCTCGGAGGCAGTGCAGCAACCCCACCCCTGCCAACGGGGGCAAGTACTGCGAAGGAGTGAGGGTGAAATACCGATCCTGCAATCTGCAGCCCTGTCCCAGCTCAGGTGAGGGGGAAGCAACAGTGTTCTGCTTCGACTGGGAGGCTAAATGGCTCAAGAGAATGAGGCACTAGATGTCTTCTTAATTAAGTACTGACAAGACTCTCTTTCAAGTAGGAATTCGGGGCCCATGAACTTGGTGGGAAAAAATTGCATCTCTATTTTTACTGAAGTTTCTATCTAAAACTTAGTATTCCCTTCAATTATAAATTGAGTATTTTTTTTCTTTTCTTTTTTAATTGTTTCATCTAAATTCTGATATTTCCTTCACTTAGGCAACAAATTGAAAAGTAATAGAAATACCTGTGACTGTCACCAATAGAAATCATTGCTATTTTTATATGATATTTCAGTTGAAGAATTCTCAAAATGCCATTTATGCTTATCCATCCCTACTTTAAAATTACAGCAGTTATTAGATTCATTATTGAATCATATTATTTAATGCATTATCAAAGAAGCATACATATCACAAATATGTTTCAAAATATGCTGATAGTTGTATATTATTATAATTGGTGTTCTTGGTAAATTTATATAATTTATGCACTTAATAATATTATTGTGAAGATAGTTTCAATAAACTATTGAAGGCTTTCATAATCCAAAAAATATTTAAGATACCTGTTATAAAGGGAGTTCAAGGCAAGATTGCTGGAGGGGGTGGCACATTCCTTTGAGGATGCATTATTATCTGTGCCCTGTATTATCCTTTGAGTTGGGGAGCTTGTGGCTCTAGTGATGAGCATCACACTCTTGAGGGTAGGAAAGGGCTGTTTAGATTTTTGATGCTAGCCATCCCAGGGAGGGATATTCTCTTTTACACTTCCCATGGTACTTCCCTGAAAATTCCTGCATGTGATTTCTCCCTCTCCAGCCTCTGGCAAGAGCTTCCGGGAAGAGCAATGTGAGGCTTTCAATGGCTACAACCACAGCACCAACCGGCTCACCCTGGCCATTGCATGGGTGCCCAAATACTCAGGCGTGTCTCCCAGGGACAAGTGCAAACTCATCTGCCGAGCGAATGGCACTGGCTACTTCTATGTGCTGGCACCCAAGGTGAGCAAGATGGGGCAGGAGACAGAGCAGGGATTAGGCTTTGGGGGAACATCAGGCTGAGCTGTCCCTCTTCCTCTTCTTTCCCTTCTGGGAATTCTGCAGGTGGTGGATGGCACGCTGTGTTCTCCTGACTCCACCTCAGTCTGTGTCCAAGGCAAGTGCATCAAGGCTGGCTGTGATGGGAACCTGGGCTCCAAGAAGAAGTTTGACAAATGTGGAGTGTGTGGGGGAGACAACAAAAGTTGCAAGAGGGTGACAGGAATCTTCACCAAGCCCATGTGAGTTCTGGGTCCTGGAAGGTGTATCCAGGGAGCAAGTTGGGAGGAGGGTGAGTGGAATTGTCCCAGACATTGGAAGCTTGGTTTAGGTTGGGGTGAATATTAGATTCTGGCCATACTCTTACTGTGGAGGCCACTCATTCTCTTCTAGGGCTGATAATCATCTGAACCATCCATCCATCCATCCATCCATCCATCTATCCATCCATCCATCCACCTACCCATCCATCCATCCATCCATCAATCCATCCATTTATTTAGCAAAGGAAGATGAATCTTCAAGAACACACCAAAGCAGATGATATTTAAGGAAATGTCAGTTTTGTTAGGTTCTGTCTAGCATTCTATGATCTGCATTCTAATCTCATTTCTCTTCTGCCTGATCTTAGACAAGTGACTCCAGTGAGTTCTAGATGTTCTTATTTATAAAGTGGATATAATACTAATGTACTTCACATGAGCTCTTGTGAGGAGTAAGGGAGTTAGTCCAAATAAAATGGTTAGTGTACTACCTGGTGTAGAATAAATGCTCAATACATGTTCAAAAAGATAATAAGGTGACAGAGCGTGCCAGCTGCTACCCTCTCCCTGAGCCTGAGGCCCAGGCCCTGGTGGTCAGATGAGGGAGAGAATGGCAATAAATTGCCAAGGGACAGTGAACAAGAGGCTGGGACTGAAGGGACCTCTGCTTCCTAGGAAAAGTGCACTAGGATCTGCTGAAGAATCATCTCTGGGCCTCTTCTAGTCCCAACTCTAGTGTCTGTAGCTCCCCAGCCTTCTGAGGTCAAACACATTCTCTTTTCTCCTTTCATTCCCATTTCTCCAAGGTCCTGACCCATGTTCTGGAAGAACAGGACACTTGAGATCTCAGTTTAGAGTAGGGAGTATAAATGCCCTTGAAAACTTGGGAGGCCAAGTACTGATGATGGAGAGATGAGATGGCTGTCCTGGAGTCTGATTGGACCCTCTGGACATGACATCTTCTGCTGAGTTTCTAGGTGGGAGATGACAGGGAGGGTACCGAGCCCCTTCTCTGGAGCACTGGTGCTGCAGGTGGAGGTGATCCAGGCTGTCCTTCACAGGGACCTGCAGTGGGGCCACATGGGGAGTTAGAGGTACTTTGGTTAAGTGACAAGTGTTCTTTCACAGATGACTGGAGCTAGAAGGGGCTGTAGAAATCATCTAGGTTAACCCACTTATTATATAGATGTGAATATCAGAACATTGAGGAACTGTTTAAAGTTACCAGGGAATTGGTATCTGAGCCAGCTGGATTTCCAAACCCAAGTCCAAGGCCAGTACAGTCTCACTGCATTGAGCTCCCAGCCTTGGACTTGAGAACCACAGATTTATTTCCTTTTTCCCCCTCCTCATTATCACAGATTATACCTATGGGGTTCTCACTGTGCCACACACTGTGTGACATGCTTCACATGCTTTGGCTTCTTTATCCCTCCTTACAGTTGAATGAGGTATGTGAGATTATGAACTCCATTTTACTGGTGAGGACACAGAGGTTTAGACAAACTGAGAAAAACTTATTCAAGACCAATAGCAAAGCAAAGGATGAGGTTCTCTCTACCTCTACAACTTCTGCTTTCACTCCCACTCTAGAATTCACCACAAGATAAATTTACTGAAGAAAAATGATCATGAGGCTCTATGGGCAGCTTATTCAGTTTCAGATAATCAAGAAATCTGTGTACCACCGTTTAACTTGGTGTGTTTCCATCATGACCTGGATGGTGCTTGAGCAGCCTCACCTTTGCAATCTGCTACCAACATCTTTGTGACCTGCTCTGGGGTTTGTGAATGGTGATCAATTATGACTTTAAAGGGGTATGAGGTCCTTAGGTCCAGGCATCTGTCTAATGCACAATCCCCTTTTTTAACCCTAGGCATGGCTACAATTTTGTAGTGGCCATCCCTGCCGGTGCTTCAAGCATTGACATCCGCCAGCGTGGTTACAAGGGGTTGATTGGGGATGACAACTACCTGGCCCTGAAGAATAGCCAAGGCAAGTACCTGCTCAATGGGAACTTTGTGGTAACGGCTGTGGAGCGGGACCTGGTGGTGAAGGGCAGCCTGTTGCGGTACAGTGGCACGGGCACTGCGGTGGAGAGCCTGCAGGCTTCCCGGCCTATCCTGGAGCCCCTGATTGTGGAGGTCCTCTCTGTGGGGAAGATGACACCACCTCGAGTTCGCTACTCCTTCTATCTGCCCAAAGAACCTCGGGAGGACAAGTCTTCCCACTCCAAGGACCCCCGGAGCCCTTCGGTGCTACACAACAGCGTCCTTAGCCTTTCCAATCAAGTGGAACAGCCAGAAGATCGGTCCCTGGCACGCTGGGTGGCAGGCAGCTGGGGGGCTTGCTCTGTGAGCTGTGGAAGTGGCCTGCAGAAGCGGGCTGTGGACTGTCGGAGCTCCCCAGGGCAGCGTGGGGCATCTGCCTGTGATGCAGCCCATCGGCCAGTGGAGACACGAGCCTGTGGGGAGCCTTGCCCAACCTGGGAGCTTGGGACTTGGTCACCCTGTTCCAAGAGCTGTGGGAGTGGATTTAAGAGACGTCCACTCAAGTGTGTGGGCCATGGAGGCCAGTTGCTGGCCCGGGACCAGTGCAATCTGCGACGCAAGCCCCAGGAACTGGATTTCTGCATCTTGAGGCCCTGCTGAGAGACTGTTCCTTTCTCCCCTCCATTCTCTGCCCCACTGTGGTGCTGGTGTTCTGGCTGGCTGGAGTAGAGGACGGCAGCCAGGGACCTGTGCCAAGATGTCACTCGCATCCAGGACAAGGACCATGGGTTGGGGTGAGCGGTTCCCTCCTCCCTGGACTGGGCAGGGGGTAGCCAACTAATGCACAGTCTACCTCATGTTCCGCTCCTCGGGGACCTGGTTGCTGGGAGAGGCTGTGGGGTGTAGGTACTGGGCAGAAGGTGCTGAGGCCCAGTTTCCAAGGGACCTGGAGGATGGGCACCTCCCAGGCAGAACTTCAGGGACCTTGGCCTCCATAAGGGAGGCCACAGGCTGCTGGAAGAGCCATGGCCCAGCAGCTTGGCACCCTCAGGTGGCCCCAGGGACTCTGAGCCATCTCTGAAAAAGGCAGGGTTTTCACGGTGCTTATGGCCCTTTTTCCTTTTCTAACTGACATGGATTGAACAATAAACACTGCCTGGGTTGGGTGGTAGTTGAAGGGAGAGTGAGATTGGGAATAACTGGAGCCTGAGCCCCTGCATTTGAAAAGAGACAGATGTATATAGGGAGTCTGGAGGTTTCTTAAATCTTCGTTTTGGCCCTCCCTGAAAGAGTCAGCCTCCTCTCCCCCAGATGTCCAGGACATTAGACTAACAGAAGGGCTGCCACCAAGGTGCCCTCTGAGACTCTGCAGGCACGGGGAGGAAGTCCACAGGAAGCCTGCCATTTTTGTCAAGAGGAAAGTGACCATTGCAAAAAGAGGCTGACACTTTAAAGGGGTGATAGATTCTGTAGCTGAAGTAGGGAATGTGAGGAGAGATCTAGAGGGTTTTACTGTCATTGGAGCCGAGGTGGGTGAGTGCTGAGCGCTGGCCTGGCTTTGGGGGGATATTACCTTAGAATGGTGAAGGAGGCTCCAGGTCTAATGAGTTTTTCCTAATGAGGTGGATATATAATATGGTTGACGCTATAGTTCTACATTGTTTCAGAACCTACAAAGTGACCACAGTTCTTTGCCCACTGAGCAACTAGTGGGACATGACCAGGAGGGCCAGGCCCTGAACATTCACATGCCTGCAAGTTACTCTTCTTCCTGATAGCGCCTGCTGTCTGCCATGGGCACATTATGTTGCATCTCCAGGCCTTTGCCTCTCCAGTTGGGAAATGGGATTCATTGTTTGCTACCTCAGATTATGCTCTCTGGGAACCCACCCTGTCCCTCCCCAGGGACAGAGGTGATTGGTGCTCCCACCACACCCAGCTGTCATCTTTACAGACTGATCTGCCCAGTCACAAAGATGAATGCGTGATGAGTGGCCACCTGCTGGGCTTCCAGATAGGAAGACCAGGGTGGTGGTGGTGTCTCTCTCTTTAAATTCCTTGGGAGCTGGTTTCAGGAGACACCAAGAATCCATGAGACCCAGGGGCCCTTGGCAGTCACTAGTGGGAACTGCTAGAGACCTGTCTGTCTTATAGATGTGTCAGAGGTGTAGAAACCAAGGCGTTTTTCTATAGCTCCATGTGGGAAGATATTTTGAGGTTAGAGATCTTTTGGCTAAGCAGATGCCTCAGTGAGAAAAGGGGGTAGATATTCTGCTTTGGAATATAGGTAATTAGTCTAGGTCCTCAGTGGAGAACTTCATGAGGTAAGATCAAAACTTGCATCTTCTTGGGGAGACAGGTTCAGCTCTTTTATGTGGTGTTCCCAAATAGTCAAAAATCCATAAACCAATCAGCTGACCAGCCTAACCTTTATGATGGTCTAATCCTGTCCCAGATTGGAGACATTGCATAGAACTCCTGCAGGGGGTGGAAGGCATGCAGCTCTCTGAGGGGGAGGATGGAGCGGAGGAGGAATCCCCCTCCTTGTACCAGTGAGCACTGTGAAGTTGCAGAGGCAAAAGGCCCCCCGGGGCTCTAGGGCTTAGTCAGAAGGGAGCTTTGCCAGCTGACGACAGCGCTGCACCCTGTGCTTAGGGCATTCTCTCTGTTGTGAGGAGAGGGTGGTCAGGGGGCTGTGCAGAAAGAGGGAGGGTGGGAAGGGAGGTGCTGTCACGGGGGAGACTGCCCCTTTGCAGAGCAGTGTTTGCCGTTAGCTGTTTTACAAGTCATTTCAAGGATGGATAACCACTCTTGTTCCTGACGCAAGCCAGCTCTCCATGATCTTTTCTGTCATGGTGTCTGTTTGTTTGTTTTTTCTTTTCTTTTTCCAAAGAAGTATGACCAAGACAACTTGGGGAATTTGTTTTGTCTTTGAACACTTCCTCACTCCTACCATGTTCTCCAGGGCTGAGTAGAGCCGAGACTCAAGCATTAGGTTTCTGGTGATGGAATAAAACATTAGGGTGCTTTCTCATGCCTATGGAAGAAGAGGAACATTCTGGGGGCTCCAGCAACTTCCTCAGTGGGACTTTGGGCTCAGGATTCCCTAGCTTACCTTGCCCATCATGTGCACTGATTGGACGAGTTTGAACCAAACACCCTTTTCTGGACCTTGTCATTCTAGAGAGGGGGGCTGGAAGGAGCTGAGGACAGTTTGAGGGTCCTGAGTGCCCCAAGCCTGGGAGTCAGCTCCTGAAGACACTAAATACTGTCACTGATAGAGCCCCCACCGCGCTGGGTTCTTTCGCATTCCCTGTACTGAGGAAGGATGGGAGAACCTGGGCACTGGCTGGGCGTGTATACTGTGTATACAAGAGAGCTGGCTGCTGAGGTGACAACAGCCTGCTCCTAATAAAGTCATAGTATTTAAAACCCGTGTCCTGCCTCTCTGACTGCATCTCATTCATGAGCTGACTCCTTGTGTTTATGGAACACACACCTGTGCCAGCCATGGTGCTGTGGAGACAACAGTGACTGTGACCGGCACAATCCTGGTCCTGTGCTGGTAAGCTGGATGTGGGAGCTCACATCAAAAGGAAAGAGACAGAATCACGAGAGACTGTGGTAAGTGGGAAGAAGAATCCAGCAGAGGCTAAGAAAGAGAATCTGGCCTGGCTGTTTGTGGACAGGTGGTAGAGTGACCAGAGCCCCTTAAAGACTGGGACAGTGAGCCTGAGGCTGAAGGATGAGTCATAAACTCGGTTAAAAGGGTGTAGCAGCCTTTCAGCAGAGGTGCAGTGGGCCCAGGCTGGGGACTTTAGAGAGGGCACTGTGGCTGTCCTTGGTGTGGGGGACAAGGCATGAGGACAAGCCAGAGGGGGCCCATTATGCAAGAATTCTAGTTGCCTGCCTGAGGCGAAAACCCCAGTTTCCTGAAGGAAAGCATTCTGTTTGGAGAATAATCACCCCTTTCTGGGCTGGCAATTTTAGTGAATACGTGGGCATGGGAGAGATGAGACTTGTTTTCAAAGATACTCCAGAAACTTGTGTTGGTCCCATATCCGAGCTCCTCATTTCCCACCTGCAAATAAGAAAGGTAGATTCAGGGGTCTGTCCAGTGGTTTGGTACACTTATGGTTTGGAACTTGGCAGCTGATGATCTGGTTTCAGAACCCTTTCAAGAGTTTTCTCCCTTTGGCTCTCTGGCAGAGCAAGGCCATGGGGAATGACTTTCTCATGAGATGGGAGAGACACTGCTGGAGGCATGTGTGTGAGGAAAACAGAGAGGGGGCCTTGGGCAAACTTCACTTGATAGAAGTTTCTAGAAAAGAAGGAACCAGCCAGAAGAGCTTGTATGACCCTATGAACTAGCTGGAGGCCTGGAAGGGACCTGGAGGGGTTCAGGAAGATACCTAGATTGAATCTCAGCGATAAGATCTTTGTGAAATTGCCCCAATGGGGTCACATTCCTGGGGCACTTATTTTTGTTGTCCTTCTGGTTTCCATTGTAGCAATTGCCTCTCAAACCTTTCTAATTAAAAGTTCCCTTGGACTCTTGGACTGGTTTGGGGGTTAGCAAATAAAAGAGGAAGCAGAGGAGGTGGGGTTCCACCTGGAAGCCTAGCCCCAAGGCTCAGGAGAAGGTGATGAGTATGTTACCTTCCACCAAAGCTGCTGTCTGGAGCACACAAACCTGCCTGTACTTAATTTTAAACTTTCTGGAGGGAGAAGAAGCAGTTTTCTAACTCCACTGGCCTTTGAAGAGAGGCAGGAACAATTTGCTTTGTAATCCATTCTCAGGAGAGGAATGCATATTTGCTCTAGTAGAGGAAAAAACCTTGATAATTGCAAAAAGGTCTTGACTCCCTGGGTGGGGCTCAGCCTGCCTGGCGAGACCTAGCTGGCCCCCAGCAGGCTGAGCTGGCACTGCTAAGAGTAGTGTGTGTGACCCCAGAGTCTTTCAGTTGCTCCTTGGCTTGTGCCCAATCCTCATTGGGTGAGTCAGCCCCGAAGCCTTCAATCCCAGCAACAAATCCCACAAGAGCAAATCATCTCCCTTCAGGCTCCTCAGATGCCACCGTGTCACCCCCACCCGCTCCAGCTCACAGCAGCTGTGAGAGACTTGCAATGAGATGCCCAAGGCACCCAAGTAGACTCTGCCAAAGAAGAGGACAGTCACTCCAGAAACTGCGGGCTCACCCCTAACCTCCCTCTCCAGGCACTGGGAGGATTCTGCCCAACCCCACCAGTGGTGCTCAACTGGGAAGCCCTTGTGTTATTTTGTTCTCCTGTGGTAATGTAAACCACATTCCAAGAACTGACCAGAATGTTGTTAAGGAGGAGATAGGAGGCATTCCAATGAAGAAACAGGAATGTTTGTTTCCAAAGAAGAGCAATTTTGTCAGAAAAGATGAGAGAGAAGGAATGAAGAGAGAAGGGATCCCTTCATGAAAAAATAGATTTGGAAAAGTGGTGAAAATACTGTCAGGGTGAATGGTTGGAGGCTGATGTGATGATATTAGCTGCACCCCTGAGTAGTTACAAACAATCCCATTCTTCCTGCTTCCCCACTTGCCCTCCCCAACCAGGCCATGGTCCCAGACAGCTTACAGGGGCATGGGCTGCAGACATCTGAATCCCAGGCCTCCCGGCACTGGGAT